TGGACTACTTGTGTCGGGAGGACAGCTGGAGGAACTTCCAGTGCACTTTTCCTCTGGATCACACGGACCAGTGCTAGCCCGGCAGACCATGTCGCTGGATTTAAACTGGCAGTTACTGCAACAGTCCTCATTTGAATCATCACAGACTGCATTGCCTTTAAACTTGCATGTCCGAGCATCACAGCAAGGATTGTCTCTACATCCCTCTTCTCCACCGCAGTCGCAGTCTTCACCTTCTTCAACGATCCCATTCCCACACTGGCTTCCGGTAATCGTCACCACTCTACGATTATTCGAAAGACAGTCGGACCGAACACTATTTCGCCCCAAACCAGAGCAAATATTACCAACAGAACACGGTGAGAATTGCGTGACCCCTCTGCCAGAGGTGGGATTCATGATAAATTGGCCACCTGCATCGCAACTACTTGGTGATAGAGGGCAACACTGAGATGTAGCTTCCTGTGACTCCGAGCAAAGTGAACCGTCGCAGTCATGGACAGCGCCAAACGTGTGTCCAACCTCATGACTTTATGCCGAAGAAATTAGCAGCGCATTCAAGATTACAACTCGAGATGAAGAGATGTTTGAAAACTTACGCAAGTACCTGCCACTCATTTGACGTGCGAGCAACAACGTTTGCTCCAGATACGGTCTGCGATTCGCTGTTATTCGGATCTCGCCTGCTTTGGGCTTCACGGTTGCACAATTGTCCAAGCCAAGCTAGCCCAACTTCAGGCCCAGTTCTGCAGTTGCTCATAAGAGTCCAGAATGCATTGCTATCTTGTTGTTGGCCACGCCAGGCCGAAAAGAGGTTGAGCCGACGGCTGATGTCAGGGGCACCATTATCAGAACAGTCAACATTCCATAAAGCTGAAGCAGGGGCGGTGGCAGGGCAATCTGGAGGGAAAACAGTCAAATTCCGGAGTCCAAGGGAAATGTTAAAGGTTTGTTCGTAAACTTGAGATGCTCCGTTGACGACTTGGATAATATTTTCTCTGGCTGTTTGCATTGCATCGCGTTGCTGTGAATCAAACGATGCTGTATAAGTGCAATCGGCGGCAACCCCAATCAAAGCAACTTTTCTGGTGGATGGGCAACCTGCAGTGCTGCCGATGTTTAGCCTCAAGTTTACACCACTCCCTCCAGTTCCAGGCATGTCAAATTGTCGTCGAGTCAATCCTAGGGCAGAATCCAATGATATGGAGCCCCAAAACCTGTTGCTGTCATGTTGTGTCAGGGCGCGAAATACGGGATGACCGAGATCTGAGTTAAATTGCAGAGTATCGGCTATACATGAACGCTCAGCAACCGAATTTCGCTTCGTAAAACCATCATCTTCTCCTGGTTGCCCAATATCTGAATCTCTGAAAACTACCATGTATTCTGCAGTAGTGTCGTCCAAGTGCGGGTCAAGCTCGTGCCTTGTTTGGACATAGCTCGACCGCAGTAAAATGTGGTGGTGGTCATGCATGATAGTGAACGCGCCTTCGAAAAGAGGGTCGGGGCCGTCTTCTTTGATGACCACCCGAGCCCAACCAACCCTCTCCCAATTCCCATATCCGGATTCAACCCAGGACCAGCCTTTGAAAACTTTATGATTTTGTCGATTTATTAACTCCGATTTCTGGATATTTCCGGCTTGATCAACGAAGTGCACCTGTGCATCTTCCGCAAAGATGTCATGGTTTGGTTCTAAAGTAAGTTTTACCCGCTGCTGCCTTCTATGCAGATCGAATGTGATATCAAAATGTGAAAATGCGTTTACTCGATGGGACGGCGTATGGATGACAGGCCGTTCAACGAGAGAAATGTAACGGATGCTATCTCGTCTTTGGGAACGAGCTGGCGAGTAGATGCATGGTGAGAATTATCCCTATGTGAGGACCAAAACCATTGCGAGAAGGAGGCAACGTACCATCAACAGTTGTAACAAGAATTGCTAGGATGCTGGTTATCAAAGGAACCAGGCCAACAAATTTTTGCATAGCGAGTGGACGCTACGGCTCAAAAAGCCGTGGGTCCGTTGGTGACCGCTGACGGGGGTACGGACCCTCAGCGGCTGTAGATCTAGAGAAGGATTTAAAAGGTATATTACAGAGTACGATATGGTCCAACTGAAGACCTCACGAGAGAGAGAGAGAACGTAGAGAAAATGTAGTAATGAAATATAATATTTCTGGTTTTCAAGGGTTGAGAAAAGTTCCGAGAACAAGGATGCGGTGAGGTGAAGGGAACCAGGTTATTTTTCAGCTGCGATCAAACGACCCGCAAAGATGAAGAAGAAGAGCCAAGGCGGGGGAAGCAAGAACAACCAAGGGTCACAAACTCTCAGCCTCCGCTGGCAGCCACGAACACAATAATTAATAGTAGTCAGGGCGGAGCAGTTTAACCAACTCAAAATAAATAAAAACAATCAGTTAACTGATTAGTTAGAGGCTGAGGGCGAGAACAAGGACGGTGAGGGATATATTCCTGGCAGGCTTGGTGGCAGGCTTGGACGACGTTAAAAACCAAGCACCCACCCAACAATGATCCGTTTGCAGCAAAACGAGCGTGTTAACGAGCGTGTTAACGAGCGTATTGTTCGAGGAAGGATGGATACCTCGCACACAATATTACTACCATGTGTAAAATATCTGGAGAATTTCCAAAGGGGCGATCCTAGAAAATTGTGTCGTTGTAAAATAACCAAAGAAAGGGGTTGGTTATATATTTTCTAATGATAACCTGACCCAGACCGGGAGTTACAACAACACTTCTGCGCAAATTCAAGGTAACTTCTCAGCTGCTTGGATTTCACTTCCTTGATTGTTATTCTGGGTTTATCGAGATCAAGGTCGCGGATCGCTTCAATTCCGTGGCTGTTAACGCCACGATCGGGTTTGTGGAGCGAAAATGTGGCGCAGACTGGGGCAAATCCCGCCCAATCTACGTAATTGGTCTTTGACGAAGGCTGTCAAGCCGACAGTATCCGTGGAACCTGTGGAAAAACTGCGGGAGAAGCAGACGTTAGGTTGGGTTTTTGGACATTGAATATCTGGAGGAATGGAAGACGAGAATAATTGTAAGAACGAGAGACCAGAAGAAGGAGAAGTCTGACGTTGTTTGTCACTTGTTGACGGAGCCGCTGGGGCTGAAACCAGGGGGAGGTGATTAGGTAAGGGCCGGCGTGCGTTGCTCACTAACCAACCGACCAGTTGCAGTTAAACGTTGGAGTGAAGAAAAAGTTGGAACTGGTTTACAATCTCGGGCCGAGAAAAATGCTTCTGTGTGGCTTAGACATTCAGAACATGACACCACCGCCCCATTAAAACTTACAGACACTAACTAAACTAACTAGTCATCCCACACGCATATCTCTCACGCATCTCCCTCACATATCTCTCACACATTGACAGCAGTGATTCTATCATATTCCCTAGATCCTAACCCTAACCCTGGTGTTGAGGGCGGCGAGGTTGAATGGATGGATGGATGTGTTTGTTGACGTCTGTGCGGAGTGTTGTTTACGTAAATTCGATGGGGTGACCAGAGAGTCGATCATGGCGTAAAAAAGTGGGCCCAACTTCACCAAACCCACGTTCAACTTATTTTTAAAAGCACGATCAATTGCAACCCTGTTCCATCTAACTATGGATCTTTCACGTACTACTACGGTATCATGAATCTCACATTTATCGTTCATTTATACAATCAGGGTCGCTAAGTCCTGCGGACAATCCCGTCAGTCAGTCTCTCTTTGCCATGAATGCTCCGCGGAGGGTTTCGCTGACTGCAGATGGACATCGCTACGAGAATTGGAGCGTCCTAGTGTAACTATCCGCAGAGCAATATCAACACCTAAAATCTCCTTCAACAATCCATCCGCGACAACAGCAAAAGCAGGCAACACAGCTGTGTAACCCATGTTTACAGCATCCGGCCGAATCAGTTGCCATTTATAATTCCAATATCCCAAATTCGCTCGAAAGAGGGGGGCAAAAAAAAGACGAGAGCCACGCGCCTTGGAGATCACTGAAGAAATGAGCTGAATGATTCACATTCTGGTGAATCTTCAAGCAGGGTTATCCAAAGCCCGCGCCAGCAGAGAGAAGTGACAAAACAATATATATATATATATATATAATAATGCATGCGATGCTTCCAATCATCCAAACCTGGGTGTTAACTATGTTGGTTCCGCCAGGTTGGGGTATCCCAGAGCTACTTTCGAACTGGCGTGAACTATTATTTGGAAGCCAATTTTAAATGAAACCGAGGAATGGTGCGTGCAGAGAAAGCCGGGAGACAAAAGATGACTCGCAGTCACCCTGGCCCAAGTCCGGGCCAAGACCAATCTGGGACTTATGGGGTTCCATGAGATGGGATACGAAGAATGCGTTTTGAAAGGTGATCACTTGCTCACTAATTTCCTCCTATGTACTCATTGGAGCATGGAAAAACAAGCTACGATATAGTAGCCTTGCTCCCTCGCAGGTTCCCCCAAACTGGACAGTTCTAAAAATTGTCCGTGGGGCGCCTTGGCTCAAGCATCTGCGGTGCGCTACTGTTACAGCTTCCCAGGGTTCCCATACCCTTGGAGGATGAAGAGAAAATGTGGATGGTTGATGCTATTTATTCTACGGACGTTTTCCCGGTATTTATAGCCTTTTATTTTTATTTTTTTTTCTTCTACAATTCTTGTTTTGGCTCCTCGCCTGCGGGTTTCGATCCGTTGCGTAACTTTTAACATATTGCATGCCCGCAGGCGCGTCAGCAAACTCAGCAAGCTCTGTGTTCCACTCGAGCTCGACTTTGTGGGGGACAACTGCACCAACACTTCGGAGTATTCCATTTATCCTTTTTATGAATTCGTAGACTGCGTGAATATATGGAGATGGAGATAAGAATCACTTAAACTTTGGTCTGAATGCAAATTTACTTTGAAGTATAAGAAAGAAGGAAAGAAAATTAATGTACTCTAGACAAAACTATTTTGAGCAGTAACACGAATTCCCTCAATCAGAAGTAGTATGATAAACCTCATGAGCCTTGATTGCGAAATGCGGAATCAGCGCACCGCAAATCGCACATTCATCCACCAGAACATCTCCACTAACATCTAACATGACTTCTTCATCCTCATCGCTATCCCATTCATCTCCACTGCCACCCTCGTCATCAATGGCAGAAGCACCAACTCCAACATCAGCCACCCACCCTCCCTTCCCACCGTCATCCTCAACCCTCCACTCCTTCAACACCCTCTCCTGACTCCTAAACATCTTCCCTATATCCCTCCCGACACTCCCCCTCTCTGCACCTAACCCCCCAACCATCCCCATATTCGTCACAGCAACATTCACAACACGTATATTCAACCCCCTCACGTCCTTCTCAGGATGCAACCTGCGAAAGAGCGGGAATAGAGTTTCGTTGACAAGGCGTTCAGTGGCGGTGTCTAGAGTGACGTTGTCAGTACCATTGCCATCGTCCTGTGTGTGGCCATTAAGTTTAAGCAAAGAGAAAATAAATGACGGCATGGGACATGACTTGGAAACCCGCCCTGCGCTGAAATCGACACTTCCACCGGGGAGCGGCGGGGAACGGGTCTGTGTCGAAAGCCGAAGGGTCCGCGGATGCGCGAGCCATCGCTTCTTTACTTTCTTTTTGCCCTTGCGGTGCAAATCGGTGGATTGGATGTCAACATGAACATCACCACCACCACCACCACCATCACAGTCACCATCTTCTTCCTCATCCTCCTCAGTCAAATCCACAAGCATCCTCCGAACAAGACTCCTCGCCAACGCCAGCAGCTCCTTCCTCACCACATCAAGCCCGGCCAGCTGCCCATGGCCATATGAATCCTCAATACTAATCTGCGTGGGAACATCCCTAGCCTCCGCCACAGGACTACGGTCGACTCCATTAATCAAACCCCATATTTTTGGTCCGATATCTCTGGGCAACGAACTTCCGCTGCCGCCGCTGCTACTACTGTTACAAGACAGCAGTATCTCATCCAGGAGCGGCGGGCCCATGTTCGGATATAAACGGACATCCCTTACTGTGACGCGATCATCGCTTGGGAGCAGGTCATATATGCCAGATCCCAACGGCTTACGGCCTAGAACATGCGCGCGGAGCTTCTCGGCGATTTTGAAACCAATGCCTGGTACTGCGCTGATGTCATGATCATCTAGGAAGCGGGTGATGTTACTGCCTTGGGCCTCTTGGCCAGATTCTGATGCGTCGTCAGTAGCTGCGGTGTTGGTTTTGGAATTATTGCTATCATTATTGGCAACAGAATAGGGAGGTAGGAGTGTTGTTTGGTTCCTCGGCTTGTGGAAGTTTCCTGCAAGTTTTGCTAGGAGTTTGGATGTTGAGATGCCAACAGTCGCTGTGAAGCTTTTGTGTTGCTCAAGCTTGTGTCGGATGTAGCTGGCCAGGTGTGAGCCGAGGATTAGCCGTTGGTATAATGTTTTATTTTGTGCATTAATACTGATATGGGTATTATTAGTTTTGGATGGAAACGCCCCGGCTGTGGTTGAATATGATGTGGCACATGGGGCTGAGCCATCCGTATCCTGATGATGGGGGGTCTGGGAGCGAGGATACGTAGGTCCCGAGACTGTACGTGCATCATATGCAAACCCCAGAGTTGGATCCGTCTTATCAAGATGGAAAAAAGAACTACCTAGATCGTTGTAGTTGAGAAGTTCAACATTGTAGTCTATCAGAGAAGTGACGTCCAGAAACACCTAGATCAATTAACATTTTCATTATCTCTACAGACAGAGTTTTTGTAGCCAACCAAAACAAAAGAAAGAAACAAAGGGCTCACTCACCTCATCAAATCCCAACCTCTCCACCCTCCCACCCCACCCCTTTCCCACCCCTACAAACCCTTTTAAAAACATATAAATCTCCTTCGACGCATCACGGAATTTGGTCAAATCTTCGCCCGGCACAATAACCACATCGGGGCAAACTTTCTTCGCCTCCTTAATCAGCTGCAGCTTGCGTAATCCGCGCCGGCGCGCTTCATAGTTGCAAGTGACAACAATCTGCTTCTGCTGGACAGCTAGGGGAAGTGATTTCAACGCAGGGTTTTCTGCTTCAAAAACTGAGGCGTAGAAACAATCGTAATCCTGTTTTACATGGATTTAAAGCTGATGGTGGTATTATCCACGCCTCACACGATTGCGCGCGATGGGACGCGTGGATATAAGGTGACGCAGTTTTTGTTAGCTTTGGATACATCATTTTTTTGCCAAAAAAAAAAAATAATAATAATAATAATTTTTTTTCTATCTTCTTCCTTTCCTTCTTCCTTTCCTCTTCTTTCTTTTCTTTCTTTTCTTTTTTCTTTTTTCTTTGATTTCTCAAGACATTTGAGCTATTCATGCAGATATAATGTTCTATCTATCATGAATGACAGGATGACAGAACGCAAGCTAAGCTCCCGATTTTTTCCGGAAGTGGTACAGAAACCGTGTGGGATGAAGAGCTAGTCGTATATCCAGAAAACAAAACTTCATCCAAAAAAAGAGGGAAGTAGATAGCAATGCAGGGACAACTAACAAAATGCAAGATAACCCTACTGTCATCTCTGCGCAGTGGTACATCACCACCATTCCTATGAAGGCGGTCTGCCATGGCGGTATTGTATTTGCCTACCCGTCAAAATGGATAGACAACGCAATATAATAATTACCCTAGCTTTTGAAAAGCCTGGACCAACCACGGGCATGGGCAAAACTTGCAGACTGACCTTGGAACTGCTGCTGTTTCTTCCGCATCTGGAAAGGTGGTTTAGCTCCTTATTGGTCAAGCAAGTCAGAGCGCAGGAGACAAAGAGGCAATAGGCCGAACAAGATGGTTCAGAGGGTGGGAAAAAGAGTGCTGCGTAAGCAAGGAGAGTGAAGGGGGAAACAGTTTGAAGTAACTGTAACCCATCCATCCAAGCAAGGGTTAGTTAGGGCTTCCTGGAGAGGATGGATCCCAGGGAAAATTCAAGGCGACCACCACCGATGATGGACGGATAATGTACGGGGTAAAGGATCAGAGAGAGAGAGAGAGAGAGAGAGAGAGAGAGAGAGAGAGAGAGAGAGAGAGAGAGAGAGAAAGAGACAAAGCAGGATACTTCCTCACCAAGGATAGCGGGTAGGGAGAAGACTGCCCTTGAAAATAAAACTTAGGTAGCGAAGCGGATAGATATCAAAAGCGGCAGACCCGACCGGGAGATATTGGCTGTATTTTTGCCGCCAATAAGATGGCTGGCCTGGTTACTAAAAGGTACAGAGTGGATGTTCAACAATTTGAGGGTTATATCGGAGAGATCGGAGCGGAGGGGCAAACCGGCCTTGGGTGTTTGTTTGAAGCTGGTGGCGATGGCAGAGATTAGATATTTGATTTGATTATTATTCTTCTTCACATGTCTGAGTTGTTGAATGGGTTTGAATGGATTGCCACCGCTGTTGCACCTTGCGCCGAGTCTTTGCCTGGGTGTTTTTTTTTTTTTGTTCGATATTTGAAGAACCAAAGACCCAGAAAGATGTGATGTCCCAAATATCCGAAACTGGGGATGGACTGATTGTTCCTTGGGCGCATCCACCATATCATCCATTTGTGTCGCGTTGTAGTCTTCTTATGGCTTGTCTGTGGCGCTGTGGCGCATTAAGCACGTGACGTGGGCAGGGTAGAGCAGCTTAGTAACTGCATAACTAACCTAACTAGTTAAGTTATTCCAGCTTGCATCAACTTACTTACTCACAAATATATATTAACAAGGGAAAACTAAATATATCTTCGGCCGACGATGATCCGGTACTTTCCTAGTGGCCCGGAGCACTTCTGGCTCATCAGCGCTAGCCACTGCAACTCCGCCCAGCCAGCCATGTCCTAAGAGTATCTCAGCTGTCACTCGTATCCGCACAGGCGACTTGCCCTTCCTCCCTCTGGAGGCTGGAGCCGGGCTGGAGCAGGGCTGCTTCGTACATACTATACGTGCTTTATATATATACACACCCACTCTGGTGCAACAAATAGCGAGAGCAAAAGACATTTTAATTACCAAGTGCCCACTTACACTTACCCGGGCGGGTACTCTGTTCCGCGAATAGGTCTCCGGTACGAGCTGACGAAGGGAGAGGGATCGTATTCTAAGACCTTCAAGACCAGGTAAAACAGCGATGATGTCAGACATCATAAATAGAAATAAATGGAATCAACGGTCATCTCATCGGTTTAAAATAGGGAAAACCTGTTTTATGCATCCATGGATATTGGTATTGTGTCATGTATAGTTTGTTGCCCACATCCTTAGTAACTGGCGTTGGAACAAGAGGAACATACCACACAGTTCCTGGACCCTGTTATTTATAGCCGCCTATGATTTGCCTCGGAGATCCCTCCGTCCAGTCCACCCGAGCAAAAAACGAGAGGGGAAGCAATAATGATAATCATAATAGCAATAATCATCATCATCATCATAATAATAATAATAATAATAATAATAATAATCATAATAATAATAATAATAATAATAATAATAATCATAATAATAATAATAATAATAATAATAATAATAAAAGAGAATTGTTTCTATGGAGTTGATCAACCGCGCTAACTTAGTCAGGTGTCGGATAGAGTTATCCTATTATCCCATTCAAGGATAAACTGCCAGCAGCCAAGCACCGACGTTCGGAGACGCAGAACAGCCTGGTGCTGGGTTTCAAGACAGGCACAGGATATTCTTGTGGAATGATAGATAGATCAGATTATGGTAGAACTATATGCATACGTATGTAGTATGTATGATGTATGTATAACGATATGTATATATGTCTGAACAAGTCAGGGTCCTCGGAGTTCATCATGAGTGAGTGTATCGATCGCATAGTTTCTTGGAGTGGTGGATGTTTCAGAAGCCAATAGATAGGCTATTGTTGACCGTCAACGGGTTGCGGGCGCTGCAGCTTGCCCATTCTCATCACATCGGATCACAGAAAGCCAGAAGAAGCCACTGGGAGCCAACTCGCAGGAAAACTTCAACATACCCCCCCAAACAACAACAACAACAACAACAACAACATCTCTCTCTCTTCCATCCGTCTTTGTTCCTCGACTTCTCTCTTCTTCTCTTCTTCTGTCCGTCTCTTCTCCTATTCCATCTTGTTGACCACCTCCAACTACAATTGTTGATTGTCTCTCCCCCCAAGTCTTGGGCTGCTTTTGGCTCCGCCTTGAGTCGAGAGGTCAAAGCCTCTTGTCTCTCCAGGCTGGGTTAAGAATAGCCGTCCCAATCGCCGCCACAAAAACAGACCCTTCCGCCTCGACCCAGTTTTCGGTCTGCTTATTTTGCCATTGTTTATTATGGTTATTATTGCGAAAATCTGCGATCGAGAAGATTCATTGATAAAAACATCTCTCACCACCTCGGTTACTTACCTAAATCCCACATAGTTATTTAATAATACATTAGTTATAAAGAACCCACTCTTGTTCCATTTTATACTCCCTCTCCCTTTGTGTTATTTTTAACCCCACCCGGTCGGCACAGTTTACCCTGTTCTCTTATTCTTTCTTGTTTTTCATATTTCTGTTTTACTTCTCCTGCCTGTTCCTGATCACCGATCACTGATCAGCGTCATTCCTCGTATCTTGCTTCCCTCTCTCTCGGAACTCTACCTCTACCACGGATCCCCCATCGACGTCTGAACCGGCTTACGAGAGACCTAAACCCAAATCTCCGTTGAAACAAAGGGGTTGAAATCTATATATAAAAAAAGGAACGAACTTTGCAGAAACGAGATATCAAATACGGACGAAAGAGCGGAAGAGAAACAGAAGAACTTGCTCTTGCTCTCCCCCTCTCCCTCTCTCCCCCCCTCTCTCTCTCTCTTTTTTTTTTTTTTTTTTTTTTTAGGGTTTAAAAAAAACACACAGCCATGCTGTCCATCATGTTGCAATAACACAACCGGGCGACCAAAACCTCCGTGCATAACAAAACTTATACCAAGAAGGAATGCATCATGTTTATTCCCGACCTGGCTGCTGTCTGTCTCTTCCCACTCTCTTTTAATGCCTCCTTCAATTCGGACAGCTTCTCGTAAGCTTGAACGGCTGGTATTCGCCCCGCTATCTCGCTGGATATCATATCTACTCGCCATGCTCGCCGTATCCACCACCCCAAAGCCTGCACATATACAGTCTCTGCCAGCACCAGATCCTTCGTCAGAGTCAGATGATGCTTCGTTCCCACCGGATTCTATAAGCTCATTCACTCCCACACCTCCTCCTAACACTACTGCTACTTCCACCGCTCCGCTATCGCTCCCATCGCCCGGGGAATCACAAACCTCCCCAGCTATGTTCGTGAAGCCACCTGTACCGCCGGCTCTTCCGCCAACCGCCCGGAACCATGAGCCCTCCAATGTTAGCAAACGACCAAAGCTGTCCCTGCAGACTTCCTCACTGCCAATTACCTTTGGCAAGTCTACAACGGCGCTTTCTCTAGCGCTTTCAGCAGGATGTTCCTCTTCCCCCACCGTATGGAATACATTCAACAATGCCTATGACGGATTTCGCCGTACAACATCGTCATCATCGCCCGTGAGCGCTTCGTCGCCTAAATGCGCCTCCCGCTCCGCGAAGCGGGGTTCGTCATATCTATGCAACTGCCAGACAGTAAATGAACAACTCCCCTACAAGCTCCCACTCGGTTTACGGAGTATTCTGCGTAACTCCCCTCATACATCCTCACTGCGACGAGCGTCTCTGGCTGTGCAAAACGGCAATGGGTCGGGTAATGGACACTGCGGGCGCAAAGTGTTATTCCCTGCGAAAAGACAGGTGAAATACCGCTTTCCGCTCGACGAGGAAATCAAGAACGTGCGCTATGTAGCGAAGCATTCGGATCTTTCACCGTTAGATTCACCCTCTGGACCTTCAGATGTCGGGACATCCTCCTCCTCTGAAGATGAAGAATCAGACTCGTCCTTCTTGTCAGACGATGACGAACCGTCAGCACTAACAGAGACACACAAGGGCAAAGACCAGGACAATCCCGCCACCGGCGCCAACGCTAGCAACGATCATGGAGATGTAGCTGTTGTTAAAAATAGCTTTCCTCCAACAGCAGCAGCAGCAGCAGCAGCAGCAGCAGCAACACCAACAGCCACAACTACAGCCGCTCCTCTCCAGCGCCGACGAACCAAAAGAAAACACTCCACAAGCAAGCGACAAATCTGCGCAGTCGCACTACGCGAAAACCTATCCAATTCCACCTTCGATTCTGGCTCCGGTAGCACCTACGGCTCCTGGGATAACACCCCGCAAACACCACTTCTCCACAAACGGCGGAAATGCCATCGCAAGTGGCGCTGGACCCTAGGACCCGTTGAAGATGGACAAGTGCAGCTGACTAATAATAATAATACCAATGATTACGTTGAAACAAAAGTATCTGAGCCTACGGTGGTGGAACTAGAGCTGTCTTCCCTTGCAACAGCAGGAACAGGAACAGGAACAGGAACAGGAACAACAGTGAAAGTTGACGTTCCACTGCTAACCTGTCCGTCACCGAAACGACGGCGTGGTGCGCCGCTGATGAGCGATGTTTTACATGAATCTCCCGTTACACCGCTGCCGGAATGTCTCCGGTCGAGCCCTGGTCCTGGTCCTGGTCCTCATTTGAAAGCTGTCTGAAATTAAACAAACACAGACAAGGAGAAAAGAAAAAGAAAATAAAGTTCTTTTATCCAATGCTTCATTCTGTCTTTTGCATGACATGACATAGACATGGAAAGGTTCCATTACCAATACGGTGTTTCCAACTTTCGGGCGCACATAACCATAGCTCCCTGTTGCCATGCGTGGGTTTATTTATAGCGCGCGAGAGGATTCTATTTTTGCCCTGAATACCACATAACCACACATAACCACACACAACCACTCGAACTGAACTGATGTCATAACTACGAAACTGGATACAAATCAAACGCAAGCAATAGAAAGAACGGGAACTCCGTTCCCATTTGAAACAACGCAGAGTCGATGCGTGGAAAACCAAACTGGTGTTGGTTGGTGGGCTTTGAGAAGAATCTAAGAGGGGGTGTGTGAGGGGAGGGGAGAACCGAACGGTGTTGCTTGCTGTGTTGGCTCGAATAAAGGAGGAAATGTCTGCTGCCACTAGATGATGATCCATCCCACTTCTCTTTTTCTCTCTCTTCACCCCCACCACCAACTGTCTCTTCACGCACAACCCCGAAAACCGAACCGCAAAGCTTCTCATGTTGATTCTATATTTATCAGTTGATAGTGAAGGCTTTTTTCTCCTGCTATTGTGCATACAATATCACTCTCCACGGGTCCAACGATATTAATGGTGAGGCATTATTTTTATCATCGTACACCCATCCCACTCTCCTCCTCCACCCTTTACATATTGCTGCGCAGAAGGTTTAGAAAAAGAGGGAACATCCTGAGATGTATCGTGTCATGTCACCTTTACTCTATCTAGCTCCTTTTGCCATCAACGGTGAACTTCACCAACCAATCATCAACAGCCTCTCATGCTCTATCCACGATCCCCTTCTCTACATTTCTATATATTATATATATATACTTGTATGTCACCTTATTCTTTTTATTATTTTTAATCTATAACTATTTTTAAAAGAAACTTTATTATTATTAATCTTTCCTTAAACTTACCTTCATTTAACTTTCCTTTCTTTCCTCCTTTACCGATATTTTTTATTTCCGTCTCCTTACATTATATATGCTTCCCGCGTTGCGTATTGAAACTGAGCGATTATTTTTCGCGCACATTTCAGGCGGGTTACGTCGATTTTTATTTCATTTTATTTCTATTTTTGGGGTTTTGGCGAGCAAGATTGAGTTAGTTTCTGGGGGGTAAAAACCCGAATTAAAAGATTCTCAACTTCACAACAGGACTTGAGAGTGGAGCTTTTTAGCATTGCAGTAATGAAAAACCATTCATTTTATATATACTTCCCTACATATTAATTATTGACGGCGTAACCAGTGGTAAGTGTCGTCGGCGGAAGGCCTTGCAAGTAGACAAGTGAATGTTGGAGAGCATTCAGACCCAAGTTCATGGGTTCGAAACCCACCATTCACCAGTGTGGTATTCCTCGCAAGAGGAGTGTGGCTGGTGAATAAAAAGGTTTCATAATTGAG